GCAGGGCGCAACGGGCGCTAAGGGCAAGGCGCAACGGGTGCCACGGGCAGGGCGCAACGGACTAAGGGCAGTGCGCAACGGGCGCTACGGGCAGGGCGATACGGGCGCTAATGGCAGTGCGCAACGGGCGATACGGTCAAGGCGCACGGGCGCTACGGGCAGGGCGCTACAGGCAGAGCGCAACGGGCGCTACGGGCAGTCGGACCTAACCTAGTGTCCGATACCATGTTAGAATCAGAACAACGGAATGGATGAACTATCAGAATGTTGGGTACAAGTACTAACCCAAATGGGTTATACCCTTAGTAGGCTACCCCACTATAGCCTAGAGATAACACACAAACATGCAGAAGTGACAACATGCTCAGGATATTCGAGACAGATTACCGTATGAGGAACAGGAATGGGGCGGGGGACGGTATTGGGCCGAGGAAAGAGAGTGAGGCAAGGGAAGGGAATGGGGTAAAAGAGGGATGGGTTGAAAGAAGGGGATGCTGCAAAGGAAGGGAATGGACTGAGGGAAGGGGATGGGGTGAAGGAAGGGGATGGGGTGGGGTGGGGGAAGGGAATAGGGTGAGGGAAGAGGATGGGGTGAGGGAAGGGGTTGGGATGAGGGAAGGAAATGAAGTGAGGGAAGGGAATGGGGTGAGGGAAGGGAATGGGACGAGGGAAGGGAATGGGACGAGGGAAGGGAATGGGACGAGGGAAGGAAATGGGGTGAGGGAAGGAAATTGGGTGAGGGAAGGGAATGGGATGGGGAAGGGAAGGGAATGAGACAGGGTTAGGGAACTGGGAGAGAGAGGGGAATGTTTTGAGAAATGGGAATGGGTGGAAGGAGGGGGATGGGACAGGAAACGGGGCAAGGGAAAGAATTGAGTCAGGGTAAACAAATGGGGATGGAAGAGAGTGGGGATGAAAGAGAGTGAGGATGGAAGGGGATGGGGCGAGGGAGGGGAGGGAATGGGGCTCGAGAGGGAGATGGAGTGAGAGAGATTTTTGAGGCGCCCCAAAAATCACCTCAATGCACGAGGGGAGGGGAGGGAACGGGCACGGAAAAGTGACTCAGTGGTCACCTCGATTTGACTACACCCAGGGGCGAGGAGAGGAACGGGGGAGGAGAGGAAGATGGAGTGAGAGCACATTTTTGAGGCGCCTCAACAATCACTTCAATGCACGAGGCGAGGGGAGGGAACGGGGCTGGAGAGGAGATGGAGTGGGAGAGCCATCCTGCATTGCATTCTCCACTTTCAGGTGCATGCTCAGGTGCATGATCAGGTGCGTGCTCAGGTGCATGCTCAGGTGCACGCTCAGGTGTACGCTCAGGTGCATGTGCACGCTCAGGTGCATGCTCAGGTGCATGCTCAGGTGCATGCTCAGGTGCATGCACAGGTGTATACTCAGGTGCACGCTCAGGTGCATGCTCAGGTGCACGCTCAGGTGCATGCTCAGGTGCATGTTCAGGTGCATGCTCAGGTGTATACTCAGGTGCATGCTCAGATGCATGCTCAGGTGCGTGCGGGTGCATGCTCAGGTGCATTCTCAGGCGTTCAGGTGCATGCTCAGGTGCGTGCTCTCCGTGCACGCTCAGGTGCATGATCAGGTGCATGCCCAGGTGCATGCTCAGGTGCATGTTCAGGTGCATGCCCAGGTGCATGCTCATGGTATGAATGAATGACTGGAGGCAGGCCACTGCTGCGTTTGTACACTGAAACGGCTTGGAGCTTAAGAACACGGAGCATAAAACTCAGGCGCAGAACCCACACTTCGTAACATGGTAACAGTAAAAAACGGTACGACAATTTGAGGCACATGGACTTACTTTTGCTACACACCAGATGATTCTACCGCCACGGGCAACTAAAACAGCCTGCTGCCTTCACCCTACCCCTCCCCTCCAGCCAACACCTTCCTTCAGTAGCCATCAAGCGGAAGATCTGAGCCGTCCAATCCGAGCATCGCGGACAGAGTAAGGTACGTGACGTAAAACCCTCCCCCCAGCACGAGCACCACCAGAATCGCCGTCGTCGGCCTCTTAAAAAGCTCCACGATAGGCCTTACAAGGCTGTAAAGCCCGCCCGTAAAAACCGTGAAAAAGTAGATCACGAATCGGCCGACGTTGTCCCAAAACTCGCTCATAAGGGGACCAGTGGGGATGAAAGCGAGCGTTGCAGCGGACCCTAACCCTAACGAAGAATGTAGGTCAAGCTGCGACGCGGCTGAGAGAAGCGACGCGGGTAAATCGGCTCCGCTTCCGCTTCCGCCGGCGGCGGCGACGGTCGCAGCGGCTGCATCGGCGGCTTCGGCGGGGCCAGCGCCGGCGAATGTGATTAAAGCGGAGGTGCCGAGAGAAAGCGCTAGTACGGAGAGGAAGAAGTTGGAAGAGTCGCGTTCTGCTGCCGCGACCTGCGGAATGACGGCGCGTTGCGAGGGTTGTGCTGTTAGAGACGTCCGCGGCTTCGAAACAGCAGAAGCTTCAGAAGGCAATTCGAGCTTAGAACACGCAATTGGTTCGTGAGACCTACTTATACGGCTACGAACCGATAGGCGGGACGGGACGGGATGGCTGGTAATATTGGAGCAAGATACGCTCTTGAGATTGCTATCGGCGCTAACTCGCACTGATAGACGCGCCAGACTACCCGAAGTGGCAATTGCTATGGCCATGGCTGATCAAGGAAGCGAGGAAGGGAACGTTTTTTCCACTAGCCAGGAACGCTATAAAAAAAGTATAGAATAAAATAAGGATTCGATTAAATGTGTGCTCATGCCGGAGTGGTTATCGGGACAGACTAGAAATCTGTTGGGCTCTGCCCGCGCAGGTTCGAATCCTGCTGAGCACGTATGAGTGGTGCGATCTGAGTTTTGTTTTGCAATACAATTCGCTCAGCGCAAGTGTACATCTAACTGCGATATACACACAGTCATACATATATTTCCATTTTCGACAGTCCTTCATGCTCGTACGTGATGCGTCTGAAACAAGCCCGTTTTCTTCCCGCAATCGCCGCAGCAGCCACGTCAGCCATATCCCTCATCGCGCCACGTGTACCACGCCAATATCCTTCACCCTGTCGTCCGTGGTCCATATTACAGGCAAAAGCTGCATGTCCCGTTAGTGGCATCCCCGCTAGTAGCAGAGAGTGCTCTTCACCTCCGCGCTGCGCAACACATCATCTTTCTCCACCTACAATGTCGACATCTTTAGGTTTTCTGACGTCAGCATGTCGCTACGCCGTTGCCGCTGCCTTTCCCAGCGCTGACGTCAGCACGAGTGCCGCAGCCCGCAGGAATGACGTCAGCGATGTTGGAAACCCAATCAGGCATCAAACCCGCGGCGACGCGTTATCGTTTAGCAGAAACGGCGCGTTTTCCACGGGGAGCTGGACACGTGGCGCAGGTGGCGCCGAAATGCTGGCGTTATCCAGAGGCGTGGGGCTCCGAAGGTTCCAGGTGGTTTCGCCAGTGTGCATGGGACGGCGATCGTCGAAAATCGCGACGAGCAAGGTGCGGCGGGTCGGCCGGCATCGGCATCGCCAGGGAATGAGCGCGCAAAGAGGGATTTGGGGAATCGGGGATCGCGGATCGGTGTGTTTTGAGTTGACTCAAAACGCGCAAGGTGCGGATGAGGGATTGTGGCGTCAGAAGTGGCGGGGAATGCGCCGGAGCGCGGGAAGTGAGCTCGCGGAGGGGGGCATGCGGAATGAGGGATTGTGGGACGGGAGGGTGAGAGGTAGCGAGCGTGGGCAAGGGAAAGCGCGTCGCAAAATGAGAATGGGGGATCGGGGAGGGGGGATCGAGAGGTGTTTTGGGGATATAGAGCTTGCAGGGGGGAACTTGGGTTCTTTGAGTCAACTTTCTTCCTCTGCGTTTGAGCGGTTTCTGGTCTGGTGGTTATTTCTGCAAGTCTTGCTTGGGTTTTAAGGTGACCTTTGAGGCTTCTCCCAAGTTGTTCCTGCAGGACTGGGAGGTGACAGGGTTTAGGGCTTGGGACTTGGGATTTGGAGTCAGGGTTGGGGTGTTGCGTTTCAGCTGTCTCAGAAATTCGAGAATGAATGGAAGGAGTTCGTTTCCTGTGTCTTGAACCTCCGCCTCCTTTCTTCCTGCTTCTGACTTCTCGTCTTCCCTTTAACACCAACTAACACCAACGTCACCTACACTCCTGTTCCCCCAGATCGGCATTCTTCCCCCTCCAATGCCGTCATTTTCCCCACTCACCCCCCTCCCCATTGTCCTTTTTTTCTTATATTGAGGGCGCTTTATTAAATCCATATTACACAAGGCGCAGGGCAGGTCATACTTTTGAGGCGCCTCAAAAGTAGGCAGGACAGGCAGACATATGGATTTAATAGGAGGGGGGCAGATATGTCCGCCTCAAAAGTAGGCAGTACAGGCAGACAGACATATCTGCCCCCATCCTCCCTCCTCCCCCTCCTCCCCCTCTCTCCCTCTCCCCAGTCCGCCATGCTGTGTAGAACGCACAGGACGCACGCAAGGCTGGTAGCATCGTGATATGCACTCCTCCTCCGTCAAACGGAAATGCGTTCCTCCCTTCCTTACTCCCTTCTCACTCCCACTTCCCACATTCCCACTTCCTTCTCACTCCCACTTCCCACTTTCCCACTCCCTTCTCACTCCCACTTCCCACTTCCCACTTCCCACTTCCCACTTCCCACTTCCCACTTCCCACTCCCTTCTCACTTCAAACCCCTCCTCACCCAAAACATCTCTGTGCCGAGTGCACAACGCACAGGACGCGTGCAAAACCAAACCTCCTCCCTTTCCCCCCCCGAAGTGACTTTTGAGTTGACTCAAGAACCACCCCCCTTTCCTTCCGCCCTGACTTTTGAGTCGACTCAAAAGTCCCTCCCTTTCCCCCCCGAACCACCCCCCTTTCCCCCCCAAACCACCCCCCTTTCCCCCCCAAACCACCCCCCTTTCCCCCCCGAACCACCCCCCTTTCCCCCCCGAACCACCCCCCTTTCCTTCCGCCCCTTCTGCAG